CCCCCTGTATCAGACTGAATGCAGCCCCTTCACCTCACCGCTTTCCCACGCCTCAGTGGCCTCCATTCTGCTTGCAGAGCTCCTGTTCATTTGGGAATTCCTCTGCAGTCTTCCTGGACAGCTCATGCACTGTCCTCTCGTTTAAATCTTGCTCTTCTGTCCTGTATTGCACCTTAAATGACCTCCACTGGGGTACTTCCTTCTGTCATAACCATTTGTCCCCTTCTCCGGCCGGGCCATGCGCTCTCTGCAGGCTAAGCCTATCTCAAGACCTGCCCATTGCTAGCAGCTAGCACAGTACTTACGTGTTTGTTGGATCATTTTCCATCTGCTTAGATGTTCACACACACACGCACGCACTCACACTCCTTGCTGCCCTGTGTCTCTACCCCGTCATCTCTCTCCACAGTGGGAAAAGAAGCCCAGCAGGCTCCTGTGCACGGTGGCACACCAGTGGTCTCTGTTAGCAGTGTGCTATTCAGAGCTTTGAGTTCTGAATACAGAACTGTGCACTCCTGGCCTGTTATCTCACCCAGGGCGGGATCCATTGTTTTATGATAGCAGCTAATGAAGTAGCGCTCAGACCCAGGCAGCTGGCGAGAGGGTTAATCACCGTCTGGGTGAGCAGCGGTGCCTGGCAGCTCGAGGACCCTAGGACGCTCCCTCACCTTGCTTAGGTTTGAGTAACTCTGGATGGAGCTGCCGAGGGAAGGTGCTGCTTAGACATCTTGTAATTACTGAGGCAGCTCAGCTCTTCCTGCCCAGGGAGCACAGGGCCCTGCAGGACCCTCGGCACTGAGCCCCTTCACAAATAGCTGCCAGAACAGCGCTTCAAAGAAAACAGAAGCAGTTTTTCCTTTTAAAATTTAATTTATAGGGGCTGGGGGTTAACTCAGTAGCATTAGTGCCTGGTTGCCCCAAACACAAGGTCGTGAGCTTGATCCCTGATACCAAAAAATATTTTTAATTCATAAATGACCCCATTTAATTAAGGCAACAGACAGGTCAGGGAGAGGAGAACGGGTGCCGAGAGGTGGCCCAGATACCAGTTGGTAGAGCACTCTGGGGGCAGGGCCGGCACCTAGAACTGAAACTGTGATTAAGAATGCCACACCTGTTGGCCACTTCTGCTCAGTTGATTTCCGTGGGGAACTTGGTTATTTTTCCTTTCGGGTGCGTGCTGCACACTTCCCTTTGTTCACACTCAGCACTACAAGAGTGGGACCAGCCCAGGGCAGGGAGAGGGATCAGAGCTGTCCTGTGACACGGGAGACTGCTTGTAGGGCTTTCTGGGAAGATGAAAATTTGAACGTAGCTTCATGGTTCCTCCTGGCAGAGCTGTTAAGGCAGCGAGGAGGGGATGGAGTTCCAGGTGAACACTGTCCTCCTCATGAGACACACATTTAGGGGCTAGCTTTGAGGCTTTTGGGGATTTTCCACAGCCAGGAAAGGCCTGTGCTGGCTGTGCTTCCCTGTGGCCCATCCTTTTGGGGTTTAGACACTTTACTGTCACAGACTCCCATGTCAGGCTGCATCCGCATCTTTGTGTGTCTCCATCACCAGGCCCTTGGCAGTACGGCTGTGGCAGAGCTGGCGGGACACAGAGGAGCTGCTGTCCCACCTGAAACCCTAGGGCATCAGCAGTACTTGCTGTCCCACCCTGGTCCTCCCATGTGAACCTGGGAACCCTAGCGGAAGTCCTGGTGGACCCCTCCTCCTCCCACTTGGCAGGAGTAGCTGCAGAAATTGCTGAACCTGCTATCAGAAAGCAGGGTGAAAAATGGGGGAGAGCAGCACAGCGGGGCTCGTGGGAGACAGAGAAGCTGCCATGCTACTCGGCAGAAGCGTTAGACAAGGGAAGAACTAGTCCAGGGTCAGGTCTCCCCCTTGACAAATGGCGTGCCAGGTCGCTGCATGTCATCTAATGGTGCTTTCACAATTAGGACATTGGCGAATAGTCAGTGTCTCTTGCATGGTGAAGTGGATGCAGTGAGACTGGTGTTACTGTTACTGTAAAATGAAATGGCCTTCATTTCCGTTCTCTGGGCCAGGCCCTGGCTGACTTACGAATTGCTCTGGCCTTGCCAATCACTTCCCAGCTCATCGCTTAGTATCAGGCTCCGGGGTGCTCCCTGAGGAGCCTCTGGGTCCCCCAAAGGGCTTCCTGAACCCATACTTTGAGTCTCCCTCACTTGTCTGGGCCACTGACCTCTCCGCACTGCCTGTGTTCAGACCTGCCGCTAAGTAGTGTGCCTTGCCTCGCCCTCACCTGCACGTTCTCATCTCTATTTTTTTGAAGAAACCAACCCAGAGAAGTGGAAAGAACTCTGACTTGAGGCAGGACAGGATTAGGTGGAAACCCAGACCCTGCCTTTGACAGCCTTTCCTAATGCTTCTGGCCTACAAAATGGACCCTTACCTACCATATGCAGACCCGCAGGGTTTAAAATCAGCTTGCTGCCAGGCACAGTGGCACACACCCTCACAGTGCCAGGGAGTTTGAGGCAGAGGATCGCAGCAAATTTGAGGCAGGTCTGTGCTACATGGTGCGTTCAAAGCCAGCCTGGACTACATAATGAGAGCAAGTCTATAAAATAAAGGAAGCTTCTGTGTTTAAAGTACCTGGAATAGCACCTGCCACATAAGTCCAGACATAGTGAATACAACTTTTTCTTGCATAAAGGACTGTTAATTCAGCAGGACCAGTGAGGAGTTCATGTATTTTACAGCCTCTTCCCATCATGGGCCCTTGTTAGTGGTATACTTTCCTTCCCTTAAACAGAGGTGATGTCCCCCTTCTGTCAGGGTGCCTGCGCTTGCACGCTGTTTTGCTGGAAGTTGGAACTGTGCCCTACCTATGTTGTTGAGGTGGCAAAGCAGCCGGATTTTAGACAAATCACATGGGACTGTGGAACAGAAACGAGCTCACCTCGGAGAGAATCCAGCCAGTGATTCAATCAAATGTCAGGGTTTGTCAGTGGCAGCACCTCACATTGGTGAGTGGACCACCTGCTTCACACATGCAGGCTCCCACCAGACTCCTCAGAGAGCTCTGCGAAGTGGGCCAACCCTTGCTGTGCAGAAGAAAACAAGGCCAGGAAGACATCACATCCTGCCACCCGGGGGAAGTATTTGGTGTACATCTCAATACTAGGGCACCTGGTCTCCCTTTGTGAAGTTCTGAACCCAGACGAGAGCCAGAATGCAGGCTGTTCATGGAATTGCAGAGTTGTGCTGTGGAATCTCTCGCTGTCCTGTCACTTGTCTCACTGGAGATGAGTTCGTTCATTGAGTGGAGAATTACTGGCATTCTAGGCACTGGGTCTCTGTCACAAATGAAACGCAAACCTATCCTGTGCTCTGGTGGGATGTTGTAAAGGTAGGAGCCTTACAGACACCAAGGAGCAGTGTGCAGGCCTCATGGGAAGACTGCAGGCAGTGCGAGCGCCGTGCAGTGGGCAGGAGAAAGCTGCTCGGGGCCATGAATGCTACGGGTTCTCCGGCCCTTGGTACTTGGTTGGCCCATGTGGTAAGCAAGCCCTCATGAGTCAGGATGCCTGCTGTGTGTATTCCCTACCCGTAGGCCCAGCACAGGTGCCAGCCAGGCTCTGGAGCCTGCCTCCAGAGTGGTGCTGTCGAAGCAGGTGCAGGGAGCGGTGGCTGGGTAGTGCCCTGGAGTGAGCACTGGTGGATGGTGTGCTGCTGCCTGTCTTTGCTAAGTCTGGAGCTCCCCCTGCTGTTAGAGTGTGGGAAGGAATCAGCAGAGCTTTTGTTTCTCTGTGCTTGTGTCCATGGCTATTACCTATTTTTTGTTGCTGTTTATTTGAGACAGGTTCAGCTTGGCTTTGAACTTATGATGTACCCCAGACTTGTGGTAATCCTCCCGTCTCAGTCTCCTGAGTGCTGGGATTATAGGTGTGCACCACTGCATCTAGCTCAACAGAGCTTTTTTTTTTGGTCTTTTTCCTTTTTATCGGTACCAGGGATCGAACTCACGACTGCCTGCTTGCAAGGCAGGCGCTTATGCCGCTGAGCTAAATCCCCAGCCCCACTCAACAGAGCTTTAAACACCACTTTTTAAAAATTTTTAAAATTCTAAACAAGGTCTTCTGGGACATTTGAAGCTTTCTCCTGGTGCTGCTGCGGGGGCGGGGAAGCACAGAGGCGGGCAGGATAGGGTCCTATCTGTGCTCCTGCTACTTTTAGCAGCTCCTTACCCTGCCCTGTACCACAGCCGGCAGCTTAGCCAGTTATCGCTGCACACAGTTTCACAGCTGTTGAGAAATCCTGCACAGCAGAAGGGAAACTGACTTCAGCCTTGTAAATGTCTCCAATTGCTATGGCTCCCTCCTTGAAGTGAGGGCCCTTTGCCCTCTCACCCTCAGTACCTGAAGTTTTCATTCAGCAGCTCCATTCATGTTGGGAGTGTGCAGAGGCTCGGCTGGCCTGGCCCTCTGAGTGTAGTTTGCTGGAGGCAGGAGATGTGGTTGGTATGGTGGTGTCCCCAGAATAGAGCAGAGCCTTTCTTATCAGCTACTAGTGGAGTGTCTTCCTTCACTGGGGCCAGCCGTACGATTGTGAGGTTCTTCTAGTCCTCACAGATGAGACCCAAGTTAATTTCAGCCACACTGTTAATGCCAGCTGAAAGGAAGTAGAAAGACGACAAGGCCTTTCTGCTATAATTGCCCATTGACATCGTTCGGCCATTTGATGGTTCCTAGAGAGGCTGGCGAAGCGAGGCAGGTACCACACAGTCCTGTGTGAGCAGAGCTGAAGCCCAGGCTTAGGAGAGAGACTGTTCCTATTGGGAACCATGGAGTTTAATGGGCTAGCCAACCCGTAAAGACAGTCACCTTTTCAGGTGGCATGTACTTCTTCACTCCAGCGGATGTTAATGGCACTGCTAAAGTTAACTTGAATTTAAGAAGCCTTCTCCGCTGAAAATTGTAGCACATGATGCTTCACTGAAAGTAATTCTTTCATGCTTCTTCTCTCGACAGCTTTGAAAAGCCCAGCTGCATTTCATGAGCAGAGAAGGAGCTTGGAGCGGGCCAGGGTAAGGTCCCCTTCTCCCCAAGGACCTCCAGACATCTCAAGACTCTTTGCACCGCTGGGTGCATCGCCTCCCAGTGTGGCTCTGTGCTAGGGTCCACTCTTCCTTTATCCTCATCCTTCCCAGCTCCCCCATGGAGTTGAGGCAGCCCGAGTGAGGTACCCTTTGGTGCATCTGGTTGTGTGTGGTCAGCACGGGTCCCCTCCTCCCCAAACCTGGCTTTGGAGACCACTGGTCTCTCCCTGCACCTTGAGATGCAGGAAGGCTTCCTACATCCAGTGTGCTGCCCATAGCCCTGCAGGATAGGTGTTCCCAGGAAGCCCCTCAGCCTTCCTTGCCTCCACGACCACCAGCGCCACTTGTACCCTATGGAATGCAGGAGCAGGCAGGGCCACACTCCAAGCCCTGGTTTCTTGCTGTGGTACCTCACTTGCATCCCTGTCCTCTTCGTTTCCCTGGAGGCCCCTGGGGAATACCCTGCTATCTAGGGTGGGCTGGGATGAGGAGGTCAGCAGAGCTGCTTCTGCTACCCACCCCTATCTTTCCTCTTGCATGTAGCTGAGAGGAGACCCCTCACCGTGGGGAACCACGGCCCCTGGCTCCCCGTAGTCCCATGCTTCTAATGGTTCAAATGTTTGTCCTGAGACTTTTGTTTCTTCCTAAACGTATCCCGTGATTAATTCCTAAAAGAATTAGTGTATGGGTTCCAGGAACCAAAACAGTAGAACCTGCACAGTTTTCTTTTTCTGGGCGCAGTGTGGGACTGGCCCAGGCAGAAGCGTCACCCCACTCCTCAGCCACTGAGAGAGACCTTGTCTGTTTCGCACTGGTCTTTACTGAGCCTCACAGATGAGGTGCTGTTGTCACTGTTTCATAGATGTCGCCAAGAGAGCTCAGCCCACTTGCTTAGCCAAGAGGCGCCGGAGCCGAGATGCAGACCTGGGCTCTGGAAACCAAATTTTGTTCTTAGCACAACAATTTTGTTCCCTAACATGTGGTGACTGTACCTACTGTGTGCCTGAGTCACACATCTGCTCACAGATGACTTCACCTTACAGTGGCTGCTTTCACACTGTGCATGTGTCCTAACAGTTACTTTACTGGAAATACAAAGAATGGGCACACAGGGCCGGTTTTAGCAGGACTACATTGGTCTAACCATTCAAAGCTTTGAAAGCTGCTATTCTGCATTCAAGGCTCACGGTCAGCCCTGCCTCCGAGCCCCGTGCCCCGTGGCACCGGAGCAGGCAGCTTCCCCCACTCCGAGGGGCTCTCGGATGTTGTTGGCCACCTACAGCCTTGTGCACTTTCCTGGGCTTGAGAGTGCTTGTCCCCTCAGCTCCCAGGTCTTCCTCCTGATTCCTGTGCTGAGAGCAGACTGGTTCTCTGTTTCTATCCTCGTGCCTGAGAGCTTCCTGGAGAGTGCAGCACCGCTCCTGGGTGGGCGCTGAGGCAGCCGGTGGCCACGGCAGGCCCAGTCTTCACTGTATGTCGAGTGTCCTGTCCTGTCCTATTTTATGCATTCTTGATTATGGGTTTGCCCTGTGGTTTGAAAACATGCTGGTACGGAGGTGAGGAGCACGTGCTTTCAGTGAGATCGGGGCTCACATCAGTGTCCTTGCCTGCCGTGACCGTGGGAGGCATGGTTTGGTTCTTGCAGTCTAACAAGGGCAGAAACAAGGACAGTGGATTTGGGGCGTTAAGAGCTGCGTCACCGCGTATCAGATCGGTGTGCTGCATTTGCAGTCGTTCAAAAGTTACATTTAGTATGATTATATCTGTATAGAATTAAACTTGTCTTCATGAAAGAGGGACTAGAAACAAATATCCCAGGATACTAATAGATGTTTAAATTTTTTACTGTTGTTACATTTCGTAAATAATCGTTTGTTGAGGGGTATTTGTCCCTTTGACGATTTGGGGTTTTTTTTTTTGTCTTTTTCCTTTTTATCGGTATCAGGGATCGAACTCACAACTGTCTGCTTGCAAGGCAGGAGCTTATGCCGCTGAGCTAAATCTCCAGCCCCAACGATTTTGGTTTTTTGAGACAAGATCTTGCTGTGTAACCCAGGCTGGGCTTGAACACTTGACACTCCTGCTTCAGCCTGAATTTACAGGAATTCACCCCTCACCCTGCTCAGTAATGGTTGTGGGTTATGTGAGTGAGTAGTTCAGCCCCAGAGGGGAAGGTGCCCTCAGGTGTATTGGAAGCAAGTGTGGCCTCCCAGCCCCCGCCTCTGAACCCTGCCGTCAGTCACAGGTGAAGGTCGTGGGGGCTGCAGAGGTGACCACCAGCAGCAGAGGTGACTGTGGCCAAGGCTTGGCCATGGCCCAGTCCATGGCGTCCACTCTTGATGTGGGTCTGAGTGTTGTCCTGGTGTGCTTTTCTGTAGACAGAGGACTACCTGAAACGGAAGATCCGCTCCCGGCCGGAGAGATCGGAGCTGGTCAGGATGCACATCTTGGAAGGTGTGTGAGGTCCAAAGCGCTTCTCCACCTACCCTGGGCTCAGGGTGCTCAGGCCGGCTGCCTCCTGTTCCCGCCCGGCGGCCCCACCCTCCGCCCTTTGTCCCTCAGTGCCTGGGCAGACCCCTCCCTCCAAATCCTGTTTCTAAAATGCACTTAGTTTTTACATTCATTCGTTCCCTCCCTCACTGGCATTTACACCAGCACCTCTGGTGGACAGCCAGGGTCGTCCTGGATGCACCTTACCCAGCTCAGCCATGACATGCGCGTCTTCCCCCAGTGTTTAGCAGCTCCTGGAACAGCGTGACTCTGTCCAGTTTCCGTTTGTTCAGTCCAAGGCTGCCTTTAGGGCCAGAAGAGACCTTGTCAAGACTGAAGTACATGTTTTTCAAATGAAGACTGTCGAGGGTTTAGAGGGAGGGGACAGAAGGGTGCCAGTGGCCCAGATCTGAGGGAGAACAGACAGTGGTCCCTCATCGGGTGCTGCTTTGCTGTGCAGCTCCTCTTGGGGACCTCTTGGCCAGTGTGGTCTGGTTACAGTTGTCCTTGTGACACACATAGCCATGCTACCCTTTGTGGCCTGGGACACGCTTTCAGCTTGCATGGTCTCTGCTCCTGCCGCTCCGGAACTCCCAGGGCAGAACCAGGCCCTGCACCTTTATCGCCCTGCACCCTTCTTTCCCACGGGCAGAGACCTCTGCGGAGCCTTCCCTCCAGGCCAAGCAGCTGAAACTCAAGAGAGCCAGACTAGCTGATGACCTCAATGAGAAGATTGCCCAGAGGCCTGGCCCCATGGAGCTAGTGGAGAAAAACATCCTGCCCGTGGAGTCTAGTCTGAAGGAAGCCATCATCGGTGAGGACCCTGGCCAGCCTGCGTGGCCTACAGGAGGGGTGGGAGTGCAGAGCTGAGCAGGGTGGAGACCCGGCCTCTGTGTCTCCCTGCAGTGAGGTGTCAGGAGGCAGTGGCCAGGCACAGGGCCTGTGCCAGGGAAGGGCTTGCCAACCGGCCAAGGGCAGTGGGGAGAGGACAGTATCCTGGATTCCTCAGAGCCCTGAGTTGCAGGCCCATTTGGGACCAGGCAGGTTTGGAGTTCTGTTAGGATCCTTGTGAAGTCAGGCAGCCCTGAGGACAGCAACCCACAAACAAGTGCTTTCTGGTGCCCACGTGGTGCCTGGTAGGACAGTTCGCAGGGACCCCAGGTGATGGATGGGAAGGCCTTGCAAGCTCCTTGGTGGCTGCTGGCATCAGCAATGGTGCTAATTCCAGGCCAGGTAGGAGCCTAGGGAGGGACAGCTTGGATGGGATTTTGGTGGCAGCGGCTGGGGAGGCACCCAGCCCCAAGACAGCACTTCCGGGCGATCCAGGGTTGCAGAGGAACAGCATGGCAGTGGCCTGGAGGACTGGCAAAGCACGGCTGGTTCAGCAGGTTGGCAGCAAGGGGTCCGTGATGACTTGAGAGGAAGGTGCATTTGATGGCCAGCAGAGTTGGGGTGGAGTGAGGAGTGACAGAAGGATGTGGCTGTTCTTGGGGACACAGCACGAGAAAGGGGAGGGAGATGCTGGGAGACCAAGCGGGTGGAGGGGAAGGAGCCAGGAGAGGCAGCTCGGGACAGGGCAAGACCTGGGTGCTGCTGGCTGTTTGCCTTAGATGGAAGAGAGGCAGGGCCTCCACTCACCTTCCCTTTGGGTCAGGGCCACCAGTCACCCCAGGCTGTGCCCGCCCTCTCCTCCAGGGGACCTCCAATGCAGCAGTCTGCCTGTCTGAGGCCATAGACCATGGGCTCCAGAGGGCACCGATGGTGTTCCTGAGAGTGCTGCCTCCTGCACAGCCTGGCTGTAGTACCAGAGTTCGAGCCTGGGGCTTCCAGCCATGCGCAGCCTGTCTTCCCCAGCCTGAACCTGCTGGACCACAAGTTGTACCTTGTCTGGCCTGGGTTGGCCCCGTGTCAGTACTGTCCCACAGCAGGTCCTCATGCTGGGAGTAGGAGATGCCAGAAAGGGGTTCATAATCACTTTGGTATCGCTAGGACCCAGTACCCAACACCCACGACCTGAGGAGGAGAAGTCTGTCTGGGCTTCAGCTCAGGCCTGGCCAGCTGGCTCCAAGGCCCAGTCGCCAGTGCACAGGACAGGGAGACTCCATGCCCAGGGAGCCGCCACTTCCCACCAGGTCCCTTCCCTAGCACCCTCCACCACTGCCCACCTTGGGTGACCCCACGGCCCTGTCACCTCCTACAAGCCTTGATGCGACACTCAGTGTGGTGGGGGTGGGGTTTGTAGTGTGGTCATCACGAAGCACAGCTGGCCAGTTAGCTTGGTCCTTTGGTGTCACATGCTTGCCCCTGCTAGGGCAGATGAAGGACAGGAGCAAGCCTGGCCAGGAAGGGAGCAGCTCAGACTGGACCACTCAGGTCTCCAGGGAGGAAGCCTCCAGGTCACAGCCCTGGGGAGGGAGAGGCTCTGGGACCTCAGTGATTGTTCTGCTTCCTCCTGGGTCTCCTCCCACCACAGCCTGGGTTCCTCCTGTGCGGCCATGGAGCACCCTGCAGGCAATCTCCGCCTGTCCCGCTCCCCTCTCGCCTTCCCTCTGTGGCCAGACTCCTGGAGCAGAACCTCTGGCAGGGCCCTGCTCTCCCTTCTGCCTCCCAGCCAGCAGCGAGGGCGGCCCTGGGGCAACTGCGGGGCAGCCAAGGTTTCTCTCAGGCACCTGGAGCCGGTCACCGGCCCTCGGCCTCCACTGAGCGCCTCAGTCTGCCCAGGCTTGGGGCACAGGACGGGGGATTGAGATGGCCCGAGGAGGCCTTGACCTCCGCCCCAGGATCCGTCACCAGCACTGGAAGCTTTAGAAGGTGGAGGGGAGACCTGGGCAGGAGAGGTGCGGCCAGAGGGAGGAAGGCTCTTGACCGTGATGGCCAGGGCTGTCTGCATCCCCCCGACGGCTCAGAGGCCGCTGGGCCGGTTTCTCGGAGTCCCTGAGAAGGCAACGCGTGGCCTGCCTGTCCCCACCGCCTATGCTTACCCAGCTCTGGGTTTCAGTGGGCCAGGTGAACTACCCAAAAGTGGCAGACAGCTCTTCCTTCGACGAGGACAGCAGCGACGCCTTATCCCCTGAGCAGCCTGCCAGCCATGAGTCCCAGGGCTCGGTGCCATCGCCCCTGGAGGCCCGCATCAGCGAACCACTGCCGAGTGCCACCTCCGTGTCCCCCACTCAGGTCAGTGGGCCCACCCCCAGGGGTGCCCATGCTTGCTAGGGCCAGGTGGGTGGCTTCATAGTGGCACAGGGAGTGGGGTCATCGCCTTAGTAGCCCAGGCGCCAGCTGCTTGTTTCCCAGTGGTGAGGAGGACAGAGGCGCCGGGCCAGGCTGTCCCACAGCTGCCTCAGCCACCCCACTCCTCGCAGCTGCTGGTAAGCAGGCACCGTGGTCAGTGCTGTGGCCACCAGGTGCCCACCTTCCTGGTTCCCTCCCCTGCTGGCCAGGTCTCTCACCTGGCCATGACCAACTCCAAGGAAGTACACACCACCCCCGCTGGTGGCAGTGCAGACCAGGCATACTGGGAGTGAGGCTGCCAATGTCCTCGCGTCCCCTCTGTCCTCCCAGGTTCTTTCTCAGCTCCAGCTGGGCCCAGATGCAGGAGAAACACTGTTCGTGGCAGAGCAGCCGCCTTTGCCTCCTCCACCTCTGCTGCCTCCCAGCCTCACCAACGGGGCCAGTGTGCCCACCGCCAAGCCCACCCCTGCGCTCATCAAGGTACGCCTCTGCCCCTCGGAGTCCCGGCCTGTAAATCCAAGGCCTGTTCTTTGTGCTGTCCACCATGATGTCACCAAGGAAGCCACTTCCGATTAGCACTGTTAGCCCATTTATCACCGCAGGGTCTCCTCCCCAGGCCGAGGGCTGCGAGCGCCTCTTCCCTGCTCCGGCCTTGCCAGGAGCACACCTCATACCTACGGGCTCCTGCTCACCACCAGAGCTGCTCCCTGGCTCTTCTGCTTTACCACCCTGTGTGCCACCCTCCCCTCCCTGTCCGGCAGAGTGGTCCCCGGCCCGCTTCGGCCTGCCTGGTGCAGAACCTTCCTCCTCCCGGGCCGGGGCTGCCCTCACCTCTTCCTCCCTCCTCGCCATCTGCTCAGAGTCCTGCTTGTTCCTCTTCCTCGCACAGGAGCCCCAACCCTCGCTGTCACTTGTTCATGTCTCATGCTCTAGTGGTCACTTCTGCCCCAACCTTCCTTTTGGTCCCTGCTGCCACCTGGTCAAGACTCCAAGACATTGCTTCCTACTCCTCTGTTGCCGTCTTCTGCTCAGAAGTGTGCAGGCCCACGGTCCTCCCTCCCCGCTCTGGACAGCCTCTGTCCTATGCCTGTGCCGGCTGGGAGCCTTGGGGGCACACTTGGGCATGAATGGGAGTTCTGGAGCCCCATGCTGTGCGGCTTCTCAGGCTGACTCCACAGCTCTGCCCAGGCAGGTTCTAGGGAGGCCCGAGTGGCACCGTCTCCGTGACCTGCTCCGGCCCACGTGCCCCAGGCCTGCTGTGGTTTGCCTGTCATTGGGGTCACTCTCTGCTTGAGGTCCTGATGATGTCTGTGCCTGAACCTCCAAGTCATGCCCAGCACCCTGGGACCCCTCTGCCCCTGCTCCTTAGGGAGCTGGCAGGCTGGCAGTCGGGGTATTGGCTGGCGGGCGCCTGTGTAGGGGCCGCAGCGCCCTGACTCCACCACTCTGGTGCCCTCAGCAAAGCCAACCCAAGTCTGCTGGCGAGAAGGTGCAGCGCAGCAAGAAGGCCAAGGAGCTGAAGCCCAAGGTGAAGAAGCTCAAGTACCACCAGTACATCCCGCCCGACCAGAAGCAGGACAAGGGTGCGCCTGCCATGGACTCGTCCTACGCCAAGATCCTGCAGCAGCAGCAGCTCTTCCTGCAGCTGCAGATCCTGAACCAGCAGCAGCAGCAGCATTACAACTACCAGACGATCCTGCCCGCCCCGCCCAAGTAGGAGCTGGGGGCTGGGGCACGGTGGGCGCCTGGCACTCCCGGCATTGCCTGCAGCCGGCTCACGGCCGCCTTTTCCTCCTCTCAGGCCAGCGGGGGAGGCCCTGGGAAGCAGCGGGACCCCCCCAGTGCGCAGCCTCTCCACCAGCAACGGCTGCAGCAGCGCAAGCACCCCAGGGCCCGGGGGGCTGGCCCGCCAGAACAGCGCCCCTCTCTCTGGCAAGCCAGGAGCCCTGCCAGCCAACCTGGACGACATGAAGGTGGGTGGCCATCTGTCCTCTGCTTGCTGGAAGGATCGAGCCACCGCTTCCTGCCCCTCAACTGACACTGCCTGGTGGCTTCCAGGCCGGGAAGACAGATGGGCCAGGACTGCGCAGGGTCGCCTCAGTAGGGCCAAGGCTCGAGTCTACAGTGAGGGGTCCTGGGGCAGCCAGCTAGGTCGCCTGCCTGTGGTCACGGTTGGTCATGCTTGTGCGGCCGCGGCCTGCGCAGCAGCAGACGGGGGCCCAGTGCGGCGGCATCTGCCTGCCAAGGGCTGGCCGGCCCTCGGACACATGCCCAGGGGCCTTGGGGAGGGGACCTGCCCAGTCCACGGCCCATGTTCTCTGCTCTTGTTTGGAAGTGTGGTGATCCCAGCCTTGGCAGTGGCACTCACAGGAGCCGCCCTGGGCGTCACCCTCCTTGCTCGGTCGCAGCCTCACAGCCCTTGGCCGGGGCCCCCATAAGATGCGTCCCTCCCATGCAGGCGCACTGCAAGGGGCTGAGTGGGTGCCCACCGGCGGGGGCGCCTGGCTCCAGGTCCCCGGAGGAGTCTGGAGGGGACATGGGCCCCACCCTGGTCCTCAGCAGCCAGTGCGCCCACGCCCTTGTCAGCTCGGCTGCGCTCTCCACCCCTGCAGGTGGCGGAGCTGAAGCAGGAGCTGAAACTGCGGTCCCTGCCCGTGTCCGGCACCAAGACCGAGCTCATCGAGCGCCTGCGCGCCTACCAGGACCAAGCGGGCCCGGCGCCCAGTGCGCCCAAGGCTCCCGCCGCCCCCGCCCTGCTGTCCAAGGCAGGCGAGGTGGTGGTCGCCTTCCCGGCGGCCCGGCTGAGCACGGGGCCGGCCCTGGTGACCACAGGCCTGGCCCCAGCCGAGGTGGTGGTGGCCACGGTGACCAGCAACGGTGTGGTCAAGTTCGGCAGCACAGGCTCCACGCCCCCCGTGTCCCCCACACCCTCGGAGCGCTCGCTGCTCAGCACTGGCGATGAGAACTCCACGCCCGGGGACGCCTTCAGCGAAACGGTCACGTCACCCTTGACGCAGCTCACGCTGCAGCCGTCGCCGCTGCAGGTGCTGGTGAAGGAGGAGGGCTCGGCGCGCGAGGCGGAGGGCCTGGACAAGGACCAGATGCTGCAGGAGAAGGACCGGCAGATCGAGGCGCTGACGCGCATGCTCCGGCAGAAGCAGCGGCTGGTGGAGCTGCTCCGGCTGCAGCTGGAGCGGGAGAAGCGCGCGCAGCAGCCGGGCGCCGCGGTGAAGCAGGAGGGCGGCCCCGCCAGCTGCCCGCTCAGCCGCCAGGCCCCGGCCGCCGCGCGCGCCTTCAGCCCCGGCCTGGCGGCCCCCGCGGCCATGCCCGCAGATGCCGGGGCCGTGGCGGTGAAGCAGGAAGCGGCGCCGCCCGAGCCCGGCCCGGGCCCGCAGCTGCTCCTGGGCGCGCAGGGCAGCGGCCGCCTCCCGGGGGTCACCGCGCCCACGCTCGTCCTCAGCGTGACCAACAGGAAGGCAGACAGCCCCTGCCTGCCCAGCGGGAACCCTCTGCAGGTAGTTGAGGCACGGGAGGGGAGGGACCCCGTGGGACGGGCGCGGCCGCCTTCACAGCCCAGCCCTCCTGCGGTGTGTGGCCCGGGACAGGGCTGACGGGCGGGGAGGGGCGGCCCCTGGGGAGCCGTCCGCCAAGCGCGCCCGTGCCCGCAGCCGCTGTCCCAGCCCGGCTCCCCCGCCCCCGGCCCGCCCACCCGCATGGACCTGGAGCCCCCTCCGCAGCCCCAGCCCGCCTTCGGGGCGCCCGCTTCCCTGCTGAAGAAGGAGCCGCCCGGCTACGGCTACAAGGAGGAGGCCGGGCCGCAGCCGCCCAAGCCGCAGGTGCGCAGGGGCGGGGTCGGGGGCGGGGCCAGGGGTGGGGCGGGGCCAGGGGCGGGGCGGCCCGGCGCGGCCCCTCCAGGGCTCACGCTGGCGGCCTTGGTCCCGCAGGAGAATGGCTGCTGCAGCCAGCAGATGGATGACCTGTTCGACATCCTGATTCAGAGTGGAGGTAAAGCCCGGTGGGGGGACTGGAGCGGCGCGGGTTCGGGGCCCAGCCTGGTGGGGACGGGCAGCAGAGGCCGCGCTGGGACACGGTGGGCACACACGGGCAGAAGCAGGGCACAGCCCGGCCTCCCTCGCGGGGCGGGGAGGGGAGGGAAGAGCAGCAAGGGATGGCGGCTCCCGCCGAAGATGAGGGCGCCCGGAGGTCTACGGGGCGCGGGGGGCAAGCTGGGCCAGTGAATCCCAGCCACTGCCGACCCTTCAGGAGGGCACTCGCTTACAGGGGCAGTGGTGCAAGCGTCAGCGCGAGAAGTGGGCTGCGGCAGAGTGTGCGTGTACTCTAAAACGAGGGCTCCTCGGTGGCTCGCACTTCTCCCGGCTTAGCAATTGCGGGCCGTTTAAGGCACAGGGTACTGAAGCTGCCGCGATTTAGGGGATGGCAGCATGCGATACGTGACTGCAGCCGGACCCGAACACTACAGGACACTAGAGTGGCTGGGCAGGAGCAGGTGCCTGCAGGGGAAGTGGCAGTGCTGGGCCAGGCCCATCCCCAGCCCATGCTGCTCTACCTCATGTGACATACACACAGCGGGGTTTCACACCCAGCTTATTTCTGAGCACTGTCCCAGTGACACTCGGCCTGTTGTGCCGTCCCGCTATCACGCTTAGTGCTGCTGTCCCAGTACCTCGTGGACCCTGCCCCAAACGGGCCTGCCGGGTCCACTGTTTCGGTTCTGTTATTCCTTTGGTGCCAGGGATCAAACTCAGCACCTTGCACTTGCTCGGCAGGCATGCCGCTGAGCTGACGCCCCAGCCCGTTTTGGTTTTGAGCCACTCCACAGTTAACAAGGGGGCCCGTGCCCCCACATGCTCAGGGAACACCGGTTTCCTGGTGCTGGGGCAGAGTCCAGGACCTCAGGCATGTCCCTCCACCCACCGACCAGTGCCCCCACCCGTTTTGAGCCAAGTGCTCCGCTTGCTGTCCCAGTGCCACCTGTGGGCCCGGCCCCTGCCGCCTGCACTGGCTTCCTGTTGAGGGCGCCTCACCTCGGTTTTGGTGTGCTTTCCTCTGCAGAGCAGAGATTTGAGCCCCTTTTCATGTGCTGCTGGCCATTTGTATCTCATTTGGAGAAAATGCCAAGTTCTCTGCCCATTTCTGAACCCAGTTTTTGTTAACTGAGTTTCTGTACTTTGAGGACATTCCTCACTAAACACCTATTTCGTCCCATTCCACGAGAAACTCCTTCACACTGGTGTCACAGCTAAAAACTCAGTAGACAGCTCACACAGATTCCCTCCTGTGTTTGCCGCACGGTCCCACAGCGGGAGGGGAGGGCCGGGCCTCTATCCTCTGACCTGCTCCCTGACACCCTTCACTCTGCAGAAATCTCAGCAGATTTCAAGGAGCCGCCGTCTCTGCCCGGGAAGGAGAAGCCTCCCTCTGTAGCAGCCTGTGGGTCCCCTCTGGCAGCACAGCTGTCACCAGCTGCTGAGCTCCCCCAGGCTGCGCCACCCCCACCAGGCTCACCCACACTGCCAGGGCGCCTGGAGGACTTCCTAGAGAGCAGCACAGGGCTACCCCTGCTGACTGGTGGCCATGAGGGCCCGGAGCCTCTGTCCCTCATTGATGACCTCCACAGCCAGATGCTGAGCAGCTCTGCCATCCTGGACCACCCCCCGTCACCCATGGACACCTCAGAATTGCACTTTGCCCCTGAGCCTAGCAGTGGTGTGGGCCTGGACCTGGCCGACGGCCACCTGGACAGCATGGATTGGCTGGAGCTCTCGTCAGGTGGGCCTGTGCTCAGCCTGGCACCCCTTGGCTCCACCACGCCCAGCCTTTTCTCCACGGACTTCCTCGATGGCCATGACCTGCAGCTGCACTGGGACTCCTGCTTGTAGCTCTCCTGAGACGGAGGCGGGGAAGGGGCTGGAGCCAACATGGCTGTGTGCCGCGTTGAGCCTTGACAATCATGGGCCGGCCCTGCTTGGCCTTTCCCTGGGTGGCTGGGGCCACTGCTGGCTCTGGCACACTGGGGTGGAGGAGAAGCTGCCATCGGCAGCTCAGGCTCTGCTGGGGCTTTGGAGGCCTGGCCAGGGCCATTTCAATTCGACCTCCTTTTGTGAGGTCAGAGGTGCACTGTCGGACTGGTGGCGTGGAGGGAGGATAGCACCTGGGCGTCTCCTTGGTCAGCCGGGCCCGGGCTTCTGCTACTTCCTGGGGAGGCTTCCTGCCGTTCAGTGTTTTTGGCGTGACCATGTAGAGGTTGGTGGCAACACTTCCCTGTACAGGTGTATATACTGCTATATTATGTATCAGCGAACAATATATGCATCTATTTTGGGGGGTGCAGGAGATGGGTGCAGTTCCCCTGACCTGCTTTCACATACAGAAGGGCTGGATTGAGGGTCACCCTGAGCTGTGCCACAAGCCCCGGCCAGCTGCCTGGGCTCACCCCTCACGTGTGTTTAACATGCAGACACCCTGTCACCGCCTGTGCCCCACCTTCCTGCTACCCAGCTCTCCTTAGTGCCACAAGGGTTTCCTGGCCCTCCTGCCAGGAGCTCCCCGCTGCCTGCTCCATCCCTGGCTCAGTGCAGCCCACTCCACCCTGGGACAGGAGGGGCTCGACCAGCCTGCTGTGGGTGCGCCTGCTGCCCCAGGCCGCCAGACTCGCATGCTGGGCTGTTTCATGGGGTGAAGGGATGGAGTCACCAAACCCAGTGCTGGGATGAAGGTGGGAACTGTGTGAACTTTTTAAAATAAAAGCAAAAACACTGACTTCTCAGTCCAACTCATTCTGTCCAGGGAAGTGGGAGGGGCGAGGTGGGGTCCTCGGGTGCACATGGTGACTCTAATCCCACCTCTCGTGGGGGCCACTCAGGCCACAGGAGCCAGGTCAGTGCAAAAAGGCGGCTGCTACTTGTGGCCCTGGCTGAACAGAGGTCAAGGTGCTTTCTCCAAGCGTTTATTTACACCCTGACACCCCACTTCCTGAGCAAAGACCAATCAGGGCGGCCTCCCCTGCCCCCAGCAGGGCTTTGGTTTGTCCAAACTGCAGCAGACAGCTGGCACTTGCCAAGTCCTCACCCTGACCCACACGTGGGAGGCATTCCTGGCCCGGGCACCCACCTTGTGCCCCAGCCAACAGTGGGAGCCCAGAGCAGGAAGCCCTGAACCAACTCCGTCCCCATGCCCCACAGCTGTTAAGGGAGGTGCCGCTGCGGGGGAGTGGGGAGGTGCCGCTGCGGGGGAGTGGCTGCAGCACTGTCACCCGTCAATGTCCCAGCTGAAGAGGTGGTGCTTCACCAGCATGTCCTGAACACCCTCCTTCAGGGGCTGCTTCTCCTCCTGCGCACAGCACAGCTGCTCAGGGAGTGCCGCCTGCAGCGCCGCCACCTCGGGGCCGGGCGCCCTCCCTGGACGGCCAAGCACCCACCTCTCTCCTGGCAGGCAGCTCCCAGTCCTGGGAGAGGCTGAAGGCAAAGCAGCAGAGGACGCTGTGCGGAGGGAGGCTCTGGTCAGCGGCTGCCCTCCTGCCCCACCGCCCGGCCCTGGGCCCTGCCCGGTCCTCACCGGAGCTCGCATTTGATCTGCACCCAGCCAGGGCTTCGCAGGAAGGACCAGGGCTGGTACCACTTCTCCACGGTGGCCAGGCTGGAGCAGAGGACCTCCAGCCACAGGTGCAGCACCTGCTCACTGGGGACAAGGCTGGGAGGAGGGCGGAATGGGGCCCTACCCGCACGGCCCCCTAGCGCCCATCAGCAGCTGCTGGGCACCCTCGTGGTGGCTACAGCCCCTGCTCTACACTTACTTGAGCCCCACGCAGATCAGCGAGCGGAGCTTGACATCCATCTGTGCGTGGACTGCATCGTGAGTCACATTCACAGACTGCACAGCCTGGGGTCGGCACAGCTGTCACTTAGGTGCCCCACTGGCCAGGAGAGTCCCAAGAGGCCACCACAGCTGCCCTGCTTACCCGGTACAGCAGCTCCTCTGGGGTCAGGACTTTGCCGTCTTCGTCAAGCCTGAGGGGACCAAGCTCAGTGTCGTGCGTGCTGATCATGGCCACACAGAGGGCCACCAGCAGGGCACGGCCAGGCCCTTACCTATAGGTCTTACAGAGCACCAGGCGGGAGTACACCGAGTCGAAGTCCCTCTCCACCTCGCGGCCCGCAGCCTGCGGTGGACAGGAGACCGTGTGTGTGCGGGCAGGGGGCACAGGCACCCTCCTGCGGTACCCGCCTCCCTGCCATTGCTCACCTCCTCAATGAACAGCCAGGGGTGGCAGGCGCCACCAAGCAGGGAAGGCTTCTTCAGTCCATGTTCAAACAGGGCCTTGAGGGCTGGGCAGAGGGTCCCTCGCACCAGGTCTGTGACCCCCTCAGTCACAGAGTCGTCCCCTGCGATGGAATACTGCAGGACCAGGGGGCTTGAGCAGCATGGCCCTGCGGCAGCTGCAGCCTGGGTGGGGACAGCCCCCCCTGCCCACCACCTACTTCTTTGCTCCGTTCATCCAGGACCTCTACAAACTTGGCCGGGAACCAGCCTGTACAGAGAGCAGGCCATGAGGGCAGCTGGTGGCCCTTCAGGCCCTTGTCCCCAAAGGCCATAGAGAACCAGGAGGGCGGGGAAGGGCAGGGCTCACCTCGCAGGCCGTTCAGCTCACCCACCCAGCAGTGCTCGTCCTTCTGAGACACGATCTGCACGGAAGGAGAAGCGGGACGGGGCTCAGGTGCCTGCACACCTGCGAGCCTCAGCACCTGGCCAGCTAGGGCGTCCCAGTGGCACAGCCCTCAGCAGGGAACAGGGCAGTGCCTCTGCGCCGGACACCCACCGTGATGACGTCGTTCTTGCGGAAACCCAGCTCATCGTCATCGTGTCGCTCAAAGTCCAGGAGGGCCTTGGCCCGGCGCCGGTGGCTGCGTGAACAGGCCACGTAGTTCTCATGGTCCCGCTGGTGGCTCTCCATGCTGTAGTCTGGAGTCAGCTCCTGCTGGAGGACAGCAGTGATGTGGACAGGTGTGGTGGCCGTAGGAGGAGCATCAAAGGTAGGAGCATAACAAGTTTGAACCCCTCCCGGGCAACCTGGCAAGACCTTGTCTCAAAGATAGTGTATGGACAGAAAGGCCCACTGCAGGGGACAGGCCTTGGGCCCAGGAACTGGGAGGATGACAGTCCCCAAGTTAGGCCGGGGAGTCCTCACTCACCACACTACAATTTTTGGGGTCTGTGCACTGGAAGTGACGTGCCACTCGCAGGATGGCTTCTCGAAGGTCAGCCACCAGTTCAGTCTGCTTGATGTTCTTCGCCTTGAGTGCCTCCAGGTCATCCTCCCCTAGAAGGCACAGAGGGCTGCCCAGCTGGCCCTGCCTGGCCCCGGGGGACCAGGTACAAACCCATGGCAGCTGGGAGGGCAGCTTCGGCCAGCACTCACCAAAGAGTAGGGAGGAGATGGTGGACTTCCTCCGATGCGTCCTGCGCCGGACCACCTGCTGCGGGGACAGTGGCTCAGTAGGGTGCCTTCCACTTCTCCTCTGCATCCTCCTCCCACAGAGCACCTGACACGCCTATCCAGGGCTGCCGGGGGCCTAGGTTTGGGGACGGTGCAGGTGCAGAACAGGGAAGAGGCTTGCAGCACGAGGCATGCACAGGAACCTCATGCTGGGGGCTGAGATGGGACCTCCATGCTCGGCACACCTGAGAAAGGGTGGTGGTGGCACTGGTCCCCAAAAGCTGGCCCTGGTCTGCAATGAGGTAAGCCAGGTGCTTGCGGCGCTGGGCCTCCACAGCTGCCTCCGTGAGGGAGCCAGCCAGCCGCATGGCCGCCCCCAGCAGCAGCTCCGCATCCTCCAGCTGCGTTGGGATGTCCGATAGCGTGTTGAAGATAGACGCAGAGTTCTCCGACTGGATCAGCTCCTCCTCCTGGGTGGTGAGTGGGTGGGAGGGGCAGGGGCTTGGCTGATCCTGGGACACCAGTGTTGTCTGCCCTGGCCCCTAGGAGCCACCCCACCCCACATGTGACGTCCACTCGGCACAGACCCCGTGAGCACCTTGAGGCGCAGCATGCCCAGTGCCGTCTGGAACAGCACCAGGGAGCCCTCATAGAAAAACAGGTCCCAGATGCGCAGCAGGAGCTTGATATGCACGACGCTGGCGAAGGCCGTGAGGAACCAGTGCAGCGTGATCAGGGACAGCTCTGTGGGCAGGCACAGGAGTCACTGGGGCTGGGGCAGCTGCCCACAGGCAGTGCGGGTAGGTGAGGAGAACACCTCCCCAAAGGATGAGAAGAATCCAAGGAGCAGGAGTGACAGACTACACCTGCCCGTGTCCACACCCAGTCACCGCCCTCTGCAGGAAGCATCCTACGGCCTCAGCACTGCACAGTCAGAGGCAGTGTCACAGAGGAGGGTGCTGTGGGCCTCACCAATGTCATGCTCCTGCAGCAGCTTGTCCAAGCGAGGCAGGTACTGCACGATAAGGTGTCGCAGGACCCGCTGGTCTGTCTGGACTCCCAGCAGCGTGGTGCTGAAGTAGGAGGCGGGAAGCAGGTCCTCGATGATGGCGCACATCATCCAGAAGGCATCTTCCTCCTCCAGGAACAGCAGGAGGCAGGCAGCTACCTGGCCAGGAGGGAGGACAAGGAGCCTTTACCCAAGTCCTGATGCGTATAGGCAGTGCTGTGGGGTGACTGATCAGGAAGAGCCACTTGAGGATCCCAAAGGCTGCTGGGCTCAGCCTGACTGCAGAAACAGCTGCTCAGCACTCACTGAGGACACCCAGTCAGCCCTCTCCCACCCCACTCAGGAGGAAGAAATCACACGCACCCTGAGCCTGGAGAGGAACCCTGCATATGCCCACCCTCCTGGCGGCTCTTACCATGCCCGTGCCCTGGCAGTAGCCAATCTCTGGGTAGAGCCAGGCCAGTGCCCGGAGGATCCTGCGCAGTCGGGGTACCCCAATGCTGTTCACGTTAGCAAAGCAGGCGTTGCTGGGCATGGTGCGGAGCAGGTCCTTCTCGATCTATCAGGGGCCATGCCACCCCACAAGAAGGCCCTGTGAGACGGGTGCCCAGAGAAGGAGGCAAACCCCAGAATAAGGGTTCCTTACACTCCAGGTCAAGGCCCCCCCCCACTTCTGAATTATTCCTTGTGCCCAGCCTACTGAATGATCCATAGTTAAGATCCCCACTGTCCCTAGTGAGGACCATCAGCCCATGTCTCTCCACACACAGGGCCCCTGAACAGTTCTCCCTGAGGCCAATGAAGGACCCAGGGGAGCACGTTTCCTCCACTGTCACTGTGGGTGTGAGGGCTGCCAGGCTTGCCAAAGACCAACCAGGGGACACCTTCCTCCTGCGGGCCACACATGGTCTCTCCTGACCACCCTGTGTCACCTGCTTGGCAGCAATGGTTTCATCGTTGGAGCTGTTCTTCACGATCTCTCGGTAGGACAGCTCTGAGCTCCTCTTCTTCTGCAGGGCCCCAGACAGCCGCATCCACAGCTGAGGGAAGAAGCCACAGGGCACCATTTTTCTCAGGGCGCTGGACTGGCCAGGGTGCTCCGCATGATTGTGGGGCCCCATGGCACCTCACCTGTGGCCTCATGCTGTGTGGGATGCCGGCTAGCACCAGGGAGCGAAGCTTCTCAGAGTGTGGCAGGGAGACAGCGATCTTGTCCCAGGTGAGGTCACCCACGTCGTGGTTGTGGGTGAACTCCAGGTGGGCCTGCCACCGCAGCCTCTGTGGGGGGTCCTCCACCAGGGCCATGGCTGTCAGTGG